CGTCGACGGCATCAGCCTCTTCTGTATAACTGCAGTAACCTTAGCACAGTGACCAATTTTTTGGCAGAGACGGGGCAGGAAAATGACCCGATAGAACTGATAGAAGCACGGAATATGGCTCTCGCTACAAGGGGAGTATATACTTCCTGCACTCCAACAATGGCATGGAATTATTACTTTGGAGATATGAATGATTTCTACGCCGAAAGATTTACACAAGTCGGTGCTCAAAATTTTATTTCTAGGTCTTAGGATGTGCGCAGACAGCGTCCGAAGAGGGCTGCAGCAGAGAGGGCTTCAAATGCTTAGAAAGGACTTAGCCCGCACAAGAGACAGCGACGTCAGTAGAATATATACTTTGACTCATAAATTGGATAAGACATCGAGATACGCTTTAAACTTCAGTCGAAGGAGCTAATAATAGTGATATATTAAATCTTAGTATAGGATTTGTTGATGAAGCTCAACTGACCTCCGAATTTGGTTAGATGAACTTTCTAGGTGATGAAATGGGTCACGTGAGGTCAGCCGAACCTTTTTCGAGGTGTGAGATAAATAGCGGTTTCGCTCAATCCGGTGATTAATGCAGCGACACGGTGGAAAACCCCGTTAGATTCCAAAAGAGCAATAGATAGATTTAACTTGATCCTCTCTTCGCCCCCATCCTACGAAAACAGGCTGTTCCTGCAGCTATTTATGTGGTTTTTTATGATGATCCTTTCCCCGATAAAGGAAACAGAAGGCATAGAATCGAATATGAGATGAGACAGTGGTGATACGCCAACGATACGCCAATGATACGTCAATAAAACACAGATATTCTGTGACACACCTCCTCAGATATCACCGTTGAAGGGGATGTCTGGATTGTATAGATCTCACAATCCCTTTGATCCTCCAACAAGTGCGTAGATGTCCTGCAGACCTATCTGGTTAAAGAAAACACGGTGCTTCGCGGTAGAGAGAATCTTCGTGAGACCATCAGCCACCTGTTCGTTTGACGGAATCCATTCCACGCATATGTTCTTCCGTTCCACCTCCTGACGCAACCAAAACTGATGAATGTCCACGTGGCGCAGTTTGGTGGTGAGAATGGGCATGGATTTGGTGATGATACCGACAGTTTGATCGTTGTCGCATTCAACGACGATAGGACACTCCGGATCGAATCGAAGATCGCGGAAAAGGCGCATCATCCTTATCACCTCCTTAGATGTATAAGAGAGGGCGAGGAGTTCCGCTTCGGTGGTAGAGGTAGTGATACTCTTTTGCTTGGATGCCTGCCAAGCAATAGGGCCGCCAAAAAGTGAGATGAGATATCCTTGAGACGATTTCCTTGTGGTGCGGTCGTCTGCGAAAGATGCATCTGTATAGGACCGGAAAGGTCGTGCAGACACCGATAGGTTAGAGTCAAAAGAGTCGAAAGAGTACTCAATCGCATGGAAACGAGTTCCGTATAGGTAGGAGATACAGCGATCAGCCTCTCGTCGGTGCTCAGGACTAGGTCGTGTATTGAACTCGCTCAGACGACTCACCGCGTGGGAGATGTCTGGGCGTGAAACTACCGCAGCATAGATGAGCGATCCTATGCGCTGCTGGTATCCCGTGACCTGTTCCTTCGTTGCGTTGGGATTTGGCTCATGTTCATCGAACGATGTGGAGAGGGGAGTAAGAGGATGACGCTGATGATCGAGAAGATTAAACCGTGTAGCGATCTTGCTAATATAGGCATCCTGAGATACCCATATCTTGCGGTTTTCGCGATCGCGTACGATTCGCATGTTAAGGAATTGCGTCACAGGTCCTAGGTCCCGTGCCTCATACTTCTCCATGAACTTTTCCTTAAAGTGAGAGATAAGAACTTTGTGCTTCCGCGAGGCGATGATAAGGAAATCATCGACATAGACAAAGACGATGAGTGGTTTGGAGGGATCTTCCGATATAAAGAGGCATGGATCATCCCCACAGGGCACCATCCCAAGCTCTTTCATGAGGGACTTGACGATTTCCATCCAAAGCTTTGGAGACTCCGCAAGTCCGTACAAGGCACGTCGTAGGAGATACGCATATCCAGGCTGTGCGAATCCAGGTGGAATACCCACATATACTCTCGTTTTGAGGATTGAGTTGGTAAATGCGTTTACCGCGTCGATACCTTCTGCTTCCAGATCGAAGGCCGCGATGAGGGCCATCAGGATTCGGAAGGTGGTGTATGCGCCTGTCGCAGCGTACAGTGCGTCCCGGTCGTGAATTTCCTGGAGATCTCCTCGTACGCAGATTCGCGCCTTGTACCTGATGAGATATCCGTCGGCATCAAACTTGTACGTAAAGACCCATTTGAGAGGAATCACAGGATCGTTCTTTGGTATGGGTACGAGTTCAAACGTGCCGTTTCTTATCACAACAGTGACTTCTCCTTTCGATGCTTGGATCCAGTGGTGCGAGTCTGGGCGTGATAGGACTTCTCCCCAATGTTTTGGCGGAGGAGGAAGATTATCCCGGTGAATGCGATCCGTACGTGTGGTTGCGAACGCATGGAGCAATGGGGCCAATTGGGTCGCATTGAGCATCATCGTGAGATGCGCCTGTTTGCGTGAGGCATGTCTGGTCTGGGTCTTAAAGGCCTTTGTCTCCATCGCGTCCCTAGCCTTTTGAGATGGGCGTTTCTCGCGAGCACTCTTCCTTTGTCTGTTCTCTTGATAGGCTCCTGCGGGGGAGGCAATATCTGAAGCGATCTGCTCATGAATTTGCCTCTCTTCTTCCTCTTCCTCTTCCTCTTGGAGGGCCGGTATAGTTGTTTCGATGGCTGAGGGTGTCGATGAGGATCGTCTGGTAGACCCTGTATGATCATCGCGCGTACCACCTCCTCTGGTCTCATCCGCGTCCGTCGTACTGGTGATGTCTAGGCCACCGACTTGTAAGGTGGGCCCTTCCACCGACTGTTGGCTTGCGATGAGAGTGTCCGGTGGAACGTCTGGTTCGCCAGAATGGTCCTCATTCCTCCCAGATAAGGCAAGATTGGGAGAAGGTAGAGCAGGTGTTGGGTTCCTCGATGATGAGGGGGTAGGAAGATGAGAAGGAGATCCGCGGGAATCTGCAGTTGGCTTGTCTATCCGTGTGTCGGGCGCGATTTCTCCCGCAGGCTTAGACAGTCCTGGGTCTGAGAGAGCGGGTGGTTGGTGATTACCCACCACCGGGGTATTTTCGAAAGCGTCGATATAAGCGCGTGTGTTGATTTCAACATCATCAAGGTATGCCTGGAGCGCAGACCGATCGTGAGGGGTGAGGGTAGAGTTCCCATCAATTGTTGGATCGTACCGGATAGTCTCGTCGATACGGACATCTCGCGATGTGATTACCCTCTCAACGCCTGGAATCCAGACCTTGAAGATGTTTGTAGCTTCATACCCAAGAAGGAAACCAATTGAGGCTCGTGGTTCCATCTTGTCCTTCTTTGCGATATCTGTCTTTAGGACGTAGGCCTTTGATCCTATCATCCTGAGATGTGAGAGATTTGGTTTCCTACCAAATACAGCTTCGTACGGGGTCTTCCACTGAAGGAATTGCACAGGAGTCCTATTCAGGAGATATCCTGCGTGTTTCACGAAATAGGGCCACAGCTTTTCTGGTAGACGAGAGTCTACGCAGATTTTGCGTGCGTCGGTAATAAGTATACCTCCTGATCTTTCCGCTGGCCCGTTCTGTGCTGGAGTTTTCGGCGCAGACAGTTCTAGGGTAATTCCGTGGTCCTCGATGATAGTGATAACTTGGTCAGACTCGATCGCAGCTTCATTATCAAAGCGAAGAAACTGGACGGTATAGCCCATGGTCCTTATAGTGTTAAGGGTCTTAGTGAGTCATCGTGAGATGGTCTCCTTGCGTCGATTTGGAATGGGATAGACAAAATGAAAGCGTGAGAATCCACAGTAGAAATGAAGCACCCATGTCTCATCTGAGAGTCCTGTATTAAAGGCGATGAGGTCTCCGTGGATCTTTTCAAACGGGCGAGTACCGCGATACTGCGGAACTCTTGAGATTTGTTTTTTCATCTGAGAGACCGTACATGTTTCGCATAGACTCCGTGAGCCTGGATGCGATGGAAGGTTTGTGGCAACTGACACACCGTGTACAGATCCTACCAGATTTCGCACGCTGTCTGTGCCAATGTGTCCCATCCGACGGTGCCACACCTCCTCAGGAGCTGTTGAGATAGAGATTTGAGACGATCGTGTCGCGAATGTGATTCCCTTTTGTACAGGGACCAATACGTCGCTCGTGAAGGTCCAATACTCATCGCGAAGATACATATGGCAAAGGAGAGACCTATCGTCAAGCTTGCGGATTGCCTGGGAATACTCATCAAGTACATAGCCTTTCCTTCGGAACATCCTGGCTGAAACGATATTGATGTGGAAACCCGGAATATGGTGGACGTTTAGGATAGTGATGAATGTCTGTTTCCCGTGCTTTCCTACCACAGGGATCTTGACGTCTCCTGTGCCCACATAGGATGAGTACGAGTCTCCGGTCTTCATTGTACCATCTGTAGACACGTAGTTCGTGAAACGTGTAATGTCTGCACATATGTGGTGAGAAGCCATGTTGTCCATATAGAAACTCTGGTTATATGGCCTTCCTTCGTTGGTCTCTGTATGTTCAACTGCGGAGAACGCCTGTGTGGCGAACGCCTGAGATTCTTCCATCACTCGCGTAGCGAACGCGTGTGAGGAACCATCCTCACGCGATTCCGAAGTTGTAGATGTGGTAGAGGATGATTCCGCCGGGAACCAATCAGGAAGGCTGATTCCTTCTCGTTTAAGGACCTTCCGTAGAGTCTTGTCGGCCGCTGGATTAGCCTTCAAGTGAGATATAATCTGGTTTTTGATCTCAGACTTCGGTTTCCAACCTGAAGGTCTAAGATTTCGGTTGAAGTACGGGCAACGCCTGTACAGGTGTTTCTCCCCACACACATAGGCTGGGAGAGTCTTCTCTCGTTTCTCTTATTGAGGGGGGACGGGAGTCGACGACGGTGATGCCGCTGCAGGGGGCATCTGTGATGGTTGAGACGTCTGCTCTGGAGTCTCTCCTTGGAGAGTTGCGAAAAGTGCCCCTTTGGTAGGCTTCGGTATCTCCATGGGGTACGTCTTTAGAAAGAGCTCGATGTGATGATTCAGTTTGAGATGTGCAGGATTACCTCCTGGTTCCCTTGCAACCCATATAGCATCCTCAGATCGAGTTGAAAATCGGTCAAGATCTTCACGTCTACAGATCTTGATGAGTTCTCTGATAAGCTTCAGATCAGTATAGGTGGTTTTCTGCCCTAGCTCTTCTGCGTATTCCTTGAAGTGTTTCCATTCGAGGATCCAGTCTTGTAGCTTCATCCTCTTTGGACGAACGCGAAGGCGTTCCCAGGCAGTTTCCACCAGTTCCTCGTACTGGTTTTCGTCAGGTCCATATCGAGACTTGAGGTAGGAGAGCATTTGACGTGGTGTATCGTTGATAGAGAAACCACGCCTCGCTTCCTCAGGTACGATTGCGAAGATGATATCTCCTATCCTGACTTTCGCTTTGTGAACATTCTCCTCGAGCTTTCTCGATTGAGTGATCTGGTCTCTGTCGTACTCCGTCAATTTGTTGTATTCCTCCTTGCTGTATGTCTGGGGTTCCTCGGGATCTTCCTCGGTCGTAGGGTCGATGTACTTCCATACTCTTACTCGATTTCCGTGGGACTTGATGAAGTTGTACCAGTCACGCCAATCCGCTGGGGATTTGAGAGGTGGAGCAGCCTTGACGATCACTGCGAGGTCGTTTGCAGAGGTAGACATTGCAGATGAAACGATAGACTTTCAAATAAGCGAACGTCGGTATAATTTGAGAGAACAAGTGGGAAAGACACGATAGAACTATCTGTTGATGTCGTCTATGGTGCTTTAAGCGATAATTGGGCTCATAACTGTGAGATAAATAGCGGTTTCGCTCAATCCGGTGATTAATGCAGCGACACGGTGGAAAACCCCGTTAGATTCCAAAAGAGCAATAGATAGATTTAACTTGATCCTCTCTTCGCCCCCATCCTACGAAAACAGGCTGTTCCTGCAGCTATTTATGTGGTTTTTTATGATGATCCTTTCCCCGATAAAGGAAACAGAAGGCATAGAATCGAATATGAGATGAGACAGTGGTGATACGCCAACGATACGCCAATGATACGTCAATAAAACACAGATATTCTGTGACACGAGGTCAGCCGAACTGTAGTCACAACGGGAACGCTGTCGTTACTTGGACTTGCTGAGAACGCCTCTTACTGTAGCCGCGCTACGAAAAGTTTCTTTTAATGTGCTGCTCGGCTTTGGTTTCTAGTTTCCGCACCGGTGGGGGCTAAGGCTAAAAAGGTGTGTAGGATCAAAGTAGAGTTTGCAGAGGTTGACTTTGATGCGGATCGATTTGATACGGGAAATTCCAGCAGTCCTCGATATCCGTTACTGAATGTATGATCGAGAGTTAGTTTCGTCCTGTGGTTCGGCGCCATATTAGAGGACTGCGTTAAAATGTGACTGCACGCGATCTGGTCAGGTCGCAAAGCGCAAGGCTGCGGTCGCGGAGAACAAGCTGCGAAGTGACCGGAAAACGAACGCAGCCTTGGACCAGAACTTATAATAGCCTTTCTTTGTCGCTGCTGTGGTCGTCCTTGACCTTCAAGGGCGACTCAACTCTAGCTTCTTCGCTGACCTAGGCGAACCGCATAACCTGTCATTCCACCCGCCCATCTGCCGGCCTGGCGCGCTTCCCTCCACACCATGGCATCCCGCAACTCTCTCGACAGCCCCGACTCCTATGCGGTCGCCTGGATCGCAGCTCTTCCCATCGAGCGGGCCGCTGCAGAAGCGATGTTCGACGAAGAACATGCGCCTCCAACTGGCTTCGCTAGGCACCAAATCGACGCGAACCGTTATACATGGGGTCGTATGGGAGAGCACAACATCGTTATCGTCGGTCTTGCCGCCGGAGACTATGGAACCACCTCGGCTGCGACCACGGCCTCGAGCCTGCTTGCCTCTCTGCCATCCATCCGTGTTTGTCTTCTGGTCGGCATAGGCGGCGGCATCGCACGACCGGACGATGACCGCGATATCCGGCTAGGCGACATTGTCGTGAGCCAGCCTGATGGGACCACAGGCGGCGTCTGCCAGTACGACTTGATCAAAGCAAAGCCTGGTGACAGGCGTGAGCGTAAAGGCTTCCTCGGACGGCCTCCGACGGTCCTCCTCAACGCGCTTGCCAGCATCCAGGCCGATCACGAGCGGAAAGACTCCAAAGTTCGCTGCTTCCTTCAACAGATGTTAGAGAAATACCCGAAGATGGGCAAGAGATCCAAGATAAGTCCTGGCTATACTCACCAGGGCTTCCACAAAGACCGCCTCTTCAAAGCTTCTAGTGGCCACGTCTCCGGGCCGGACTGTCGGGGCTGCGACGCGGCTGGCGACGTTCAACGCGATCCTCGAGACACCACCGACCCCGATATCCACTACGGGACCATCGCATCCGGCAACACGCTGGTCAAAGACGCCGCTGCGCGCGATCGGATTGTTGCCGACGTCGGCGAGGATTGCATCTGCTTTGAGATGGAAGCAGCCGGCCTGATGAACCACTTTCCCTGTCTTGTGATCCGAGGGATCTGCGACTACGCCGATTCCCACAAGAACGATCGATGGCAACGTTACGCCTCGGCCACCGCCGCTGCGTATACTAAGGAGCTCCTGGCATACGTGCCGGTCGCGGAGGTCCAAGAGACCAAAAAAGCGCTAGAAATGCTTCAGTCAGGTTAGTGATCCATATCCTCCGACAGGGCCCTGGCCTGGCGAATAAACAAGGCGGAGTAATAATATCACGTCGAGCACATTCTGACCTGCCTTAGTTGAACAAAAAATCGATAGTATGCAGCAGACCATAGGTATAGCGAAAATAGCCACTGATTCCATCCAGGCCGACCTTCGTACCGAGAAGATCGAGCGCTGGCTTCGCCCCTCCGATCCGTCTACAAACGCCAACCACGCGAGGGAGCTCCGCCATGAGGGGACAGGTACGTGGCTCCTAGAAAACCCGGCCTTCCAGGAGTGGCACTCAGGGTCGCGTCGACATTTGTGGTTGTATAGTCTCGCGGGATGTGGAAAGACGGTTCTCAGCGCAACTATATTGGATCATCTTGAGAAGGGAAACGACCGTCTTATCCTCAACTTCTTCTTTGACTTTGGCGACACGAAAAAGCAGACTGTGGATGGCATGCTGCGGTCGCTTGCTTTCCAACTCTACCGAGGCCGCAGTGCCTCTGCAGGCCTTCTTGACGCCTCATTCCAAGCACACCAGGATGGCCGTGACCAAATTGGGACAAAGGCGCTCTCAGATGTTTTATTCAAGTTTCTCGCAGTCCAGACGAAGGTCTCTATCGTTCTAGACGCCTTGGACGAGTCGACAACGAGGCGCGAACTACTCCTCTGGACCCAGGACGTAGTTTCCAGGCCAGAGCTGGGCCACGTCCAGCTGATTTGTACCGGTCGGCCTGAAGCCGAGTTCCTGAGCGAAATTCCCTCGTTAATAGGCGAGGAAAACAGCTTGGCACTCGACAAGCACTCTGTCAACGCTGATATCCGATCGTACGTCGCAGCACAGCTTGCGCAACGACGTGAATTTCGGAACAAGCACTTGTCCCAGGATCTCCTTGAGAGGATTCGGAGGAAGGTTGGCGACGGAGCCGACGGGATGTAAGATATTATTGCTTCAATTAATATGCTGATGGTTTGCTGACGCTCTGCGTAGGTTTAGATGGGCGTTCTGTCAGTTGGACAGCCTAGCTCGATGTCGTCACGCGGCGGACATGGCGAAAGCTCTTGCATCTTTGCCGCGGAACCTAGAAGAAACGTACCGACGCATGATTGAACGCATACCGATAGATCTCAAAAACGATGCGATACGGCTCCTACAATTCCTGGTGCACTCCAAGCAACCTCTCAAGCTGGTCGAGGCGAAAGAAGTAGTAGCAACACAGATTGAAAACGGGTCGCAAGGATTTGATATCAATCGTCGACTATTTTGCGAGACAGCTGTTTTAGACTACTGTCCCGGCTTAGCGACAGTCGTTCACGCCACCGATAAAGAGCTGCATTTGGCCCACTTTTCTGTGAAAGAGTACCTTCTTGGGGAGAATCAGTTCAAGATTTCGACTGCCAGCATTTCCATCACGAAGACATGCTTGACATATCTTACGGACATCAATGGTAGCAACCAAAAGATCAAGCGGGATTTTCCGATGGCAAGATTTGCAGCGGAAGTCTGGACAGGCTTTGCTGCGTTGGCTCAGGCTTCAGAAGATATAGTTCGAGGGACGGTCAGGTTCGTAGAAGAGGAGGTGACGTTCCAGCGATGGGCTCGCTTGTATCAGGCTGATAAGCATTGGGATAATGACCCAGGTCCTCCACGAGGTTCCAAGCTCTACTATGCTTGCTTCACTGGGCTCGTAGCGCCTGCGCGAGATCTTATCGGCAAGGGAGCAGATGTCAATGCCCAGGGCGGCGAGTACGGCAACGCTCTCCAAGCCGCCTCATCTCGAGGCCATCAAGAGATTATCGCGCTGCTCTTAGATAAGGGAGCAGATGTAGGTGCCCAGGGCGGCCTCTACGGCAACGCTCTCCAAGCCGCCTCATCAGGAGGCCATCAAGAGATTGTCGCGCTGCTCTTAGATAAGGGAGCAGATG